GACTTTCATGTCATCTGTCCCCTTTTTTCAATGTCTTTCCAAACTTTCAAAGACTGAAGAGGTCAGAAAACCGTTGCGGGAATGTGGCCTGCCTGGGAAGGGGTCCAAAATGGATCTTGTTCTTGCCCTGCGTAACATGATGTCAAACCGAGTAACGTATAACAAAGTGTTTACAAAGGTGTGGGGAGCTTCTGGTAAGTCCTTTTATTAATCAGAGAATAATAATTTTTATATGTAATAGTGGAGGTGTTGTGTTGTGTGCATTGGTGATATTTCAGCATAATTTGTCAATGCATATTAGCAAGATATCTTACCTTTTCATTTTTAGATGGCTGGGCTGTTGTTATGTGCCCCCATGGAATTGTGTACTCCACAAAATTCAACATATGAGCAGAGAGTCCACGTGACTTCACAGACCTACTGCTGTCCTGGAAGCACTTGCCAAATGTTTGCATTTATGACTATGCGAGGGGGTTGGTGGCCCACACAAATCACAGAAGACCACATTGTCTACCGTTTCAGCCTCATGATGGTTGTGTGCAGGAGCCCTCTGCAGAAAATATTCAGAAGGCGAGGGCAGGGACTCGAAAGGTCGCTTTCCAATGGCTTTTACACAAGAAGGAACTACCTGACCTGGACTGCCACCCAGTAACTGGTTGTTCTGAGCACTATGCTCTCAGTGATGTCTTTCATGAGAGTAACAGCCGTGATGAACGAGATGCTCCGAAAGATTCGGCTCGTGCCAGAACTTTCTGGCAGGATTAACAGCCAATGTGCTGAGCAGCTGTTTTGCGGGATGAAGCGAAATAAATACTATATGAACTTGCTCTCCCCAGCCTCTCATGTTTTCTTGTATCGCAACATCCTTCCTCACAGAAACGCTTCAAAGAAGAAAGAAGTGGTTGAGCAGTTCAAGAAGCTAACAGCAGCTCAAGAACTGCTGTTTGATCCCAATGGGAAACTGACAATGGGTAATTTGATTAGTAATCCATCTGTTACAGGGTGATTAATTTCTTACAACATGGAATATGTTGGGGGGAAGGGTCCTAACTTTGGTTTTGTTGTATTGTCTTCCTAACATTAAGGTCCACTACCCACTCCAAATGACCATGGTAGTGTCAGAGGTTCAGAAGTTGGGCAGGCTTGCGGGCCTCACTGTGCAAGTTTGACTAAATTTGACTTTGTGGAAGCAAGGCGGTCTTCCTGGTCATGTTCTCTGCATCAGGGTCAAGAAGAAGTGGTACGCTTTTCTTGCATTTATTTTTTGTGTATGCCAGGGGAGATTCATCAATGAAACCTTTTGGTGGGGTTTTGTATCTGTTATAACACTTGTCTTATATTTTTTTTCGTTACAGCTTAAGTATGTTCTGGACTCCAGTAGACCAGGACAGGAATTGATTGTATCTACAGACAAATATTGCCTAACCAGATCTGATTTTTTGACGCTTGGCTTGATGCAAGAGATGGAGTCCACTGTGAGTGGATAATAATTTGTTTGTTTAAATGCATTTGCAAATGTGTTATTTCACAATTGACGTTAATTTTTTGTCTAGGTTGGAAATGCCTGCTTTGAAATAATCCAAAAGACTGCTTTGTCCAAGGTAGATAGGCATATATGATCAACTTGGCTGCCTGGATGAAAGGCTCACTAATACGTTAAACAGAAAGTGAAATTGTAAAATCATGAGGATAGTACAGATCTACTTAATTTTTTTTTCTGAAAAACCAACCAAAGAAGTTAACAATTTTCTAGTTATGTTTTGGACTAAACTGAAGTCTGTATTTCTGTTGTGACTCGGGGGAAGAATATCTACACTGGAGATTTGTATGTCTGCCCCACCTGGTTACCACCTGTCAACAATGACCCTATGAAAAGTCTACCAGTAAGTATGCCTTCTTGTATCTACAACCTATGATGTTTGCTGTTGACACATTCATATTGAGTGTGCAATGGTACAGTTGCAATCAAAATTATTCAACCCCCACTGCATATTAGGCTTATTGGCAAAATGTACAATTTTTCAGCTGTTTGCAATATACAAATTAGACAAGAACAGTTGAAATAGTTTAATAAAACTAATATTACTATGGTTTTTATCCAAATTCAACACAAAATGCTACTTTTAACCACTATTGCAGTCTCAAAATTATTCAACCCCCTGTTTCAAGCACACCTGGTGCAACTAATCAAGGGCTTCATTATTTCAGGTGTGCTTGAGATAGAACACATAAATACCTGGACTGGCTAGGAGTTTGTTGAGAGTGACGTTTGACTGCATGCTAGAAATATGGCTAAGTCAAAAGAATTGTCCAGAAAGTTCAGAGAAGAAATCGTTGCACAAACAAGGAAAAGGACACAAAAAGATAGCAAAAGCTCTGAATGTTCTTAGAGATACAGTTGGAAGCATAGTTCGCAAATTCAAAGTTAAAGGAACAGTGGCTACACTACCTGGACGTGGCAGAAAGAGTAAACTTTCAGCTGCTGCTATCAGATTCCTGAGAAGGCAAGTGGTCAAAAACCCTCGAGTGACTGCAAAACACCTGCGGCAAGACTTGGTGGCAGCAGGCACTGAGGTTTCAGTTTGCACAATAAGGCGCATACTAAACACTGAAGGGCTCCATGCCGGGACTCCAAGACGTACACCACTACTGACCCAAAAGCACAAGAAAAGTCGGCTCCAATATGCTCAAAACCATATAAATAAGCCACAGAAGTTCTGGAATTCTGTTCTGTGGAGCGATGNGGTGCCAATTATTCTAGCCACTAACACTCAAAGTCTTATATCACTTTGTACAGTGTAAAACATACTTAGACATGAACTTATATATATATTTTTTGGGTTCTGTGTCAAAATACTAACCTGAACAATAATGCAATAACAAACATTTTTCAAAAGTTTTTTTTTTTTTTTTTAAACTTTTAATCACAAGTTCAGTCTTTCAGGCTTCTTGATTGTTCATGTGGATCTCCTGACCACAGGCTCACTTGACATGTCTGAGTTAGTGTCACAGTCTGTGTGAAGTGAACGAGTTGGCTCAGACTCAGTTATGGCTTCACTGCGCTCTGTAACAGTCTCTAGAAGATTGTGGCGATTGCATCTGAAGATTTGTCCTTCCTCAGTCCTCACACTGTATCATCTTGGAGCTACCTCTTGAAGCACAGTAGCTTTGGTTTTCCATCCATCAGCATCTTCAATCCTGACTGTGTCGTTGCATGACAGGGGAGGAAGCTGCTTGGCTGTTTTGTCATAGAATGATTTCTGTTTCATTTTCTGTTCTTGCAGTCTTTGTTTCAGCTTTGGTGGTTTCTTTTGCTGTGAGTGGCTTGGCAGTGTGGTACGTAGTTTTCTGTTCATTAGTAATTCAGCCGGTGATGCTCCACACTCGAGTGGTGATGCTCTGTAGCTGAGTAATGCAAGGTAGGGGTCAGAATTACTGTCAGCAGCTTTTTTTAGGAGTTGCTTGAGAATGTGGACTCCCTTCTCAGCTTTCCCATTCGACTGTGCATACAGAGGACTAGACGTCACATGCCTGAAGTCGTACTGTACTGCAAACTCTTGCCACTCTCTGCTGCTGAAACATGCTCCATTGTCACTTACCACTGTGTGTGGTATGCCGTGTCTAGCAAAGATGGATTTTACATGTGTTATGACACAGGCTGATGTCATGTTTGCCAGTAATGCCATTTCCGGGAAGTTTGAGTAATAGTCAATGACCACTAAATAGTCTTTACCCTTGAGATGAAACAAGTCCATTCCTACTTTGTGCCAAGGTGCTGTTGGCACATCAGACAGCATCATAGGCTCTTTGGTTTGCTTGTTTCTGTGTTTCTGGCATGTTTCACATCTGCTTATCAGTCTCTCAATGTCTTTGTTAATGCCAGGCCAGAATACCGTCTCTCTCGCCCTTCTTTTGCATTTCTCGACACCGAAATGACCTTCATGGATCCTGTGTAGCATGTCCCGTCTCATGTTTTGTGGAATAATGATCCTGTTCTGCCTGAGTAACAGTCCATTAACAACACTCAGCTCACCTCTGATGTGGTAGAACTGCGGACAGGAGCCTACAGGCCATCCATTCTCCATGTTCATGATTACCTGTTGCAGCTCTGTGTCTTTTTCTGTTACATCTGCTATTAGCTTGGACTTTGTGTCTGTTACAGGAAGTGCAGCTGATATCATGTTCACGTGAATTTGAACATCTTCATCCGTTGTGCTCACTCCGCCTCCTGCAGGTGCGCGTGAGAGAGTATCACCGATTGATTATCAGGTGCTTTCCAGGTGTGTAGATGAGTTCAAAGTCATATCTCTGCATTTTCATCATCAGCCGCTGAATCCTTGGAGTCATCTCATTCAGATTCTTTTTGATGATGGCGACTAATGGACGATGGTCAGTCTCCACAGTGAATGATGGTAAGCCATGTATGTAGCTGTGGAACCTCTCTAGGCCGAACACCAACTCCAGACATTCTTTTTCTATTTGTGCGTACCTGCACTCAGTTTCCGTCATGGTCCTGGATGCATAGGCCACCGGTTTCCAATGTTCATCTTCAGCCTGCAGCAGAACTGCACCAATTCCGTCTTTTGATGCACCCGTCGAGACTTTGATCCTCTGAGTCAGGATGTTACTCGAATGTTAGCACAGGTGCTGTTGTTAGTGTCTCTTTGAGCCTTTGCCACTCTTTGTCATGTTTTTCTGTCCATTTGAAGTCATTGTCTTTATGCAGGAGCTCGCGAATGCAGGATGTCTTGGCAGATAGGTTGGGAATAAATTTTCTTACAAAGTTGACCATCCCCATGATGCATAATACACCTGTCTTATCTGTGGGTCCTGGCATGTTATGTATAACATGTATATGTATAACCCAGGTTAAAAAAATCTGCCTTAATATAACTATTAATTATTATTGCACACCCTCCGAACACCTCGACGTCACTACCTCACGTCACCCAGTCATGTGACCGCTCCCAACCAATCACGTCACGCAGAGCGAAATTTGTAGCAGCTGCGGTGGATCTCCTACTCAGACTTGCGGGGAGAGCCGGTTGACAGCTGCGTGCAGGTTCGTAACCATCTGGTCTTTACAGACGTTCGCTCTTTCGGTTGTTTTCTACTCAGCATGCTAAGTATGTCATAACCTTTTAGATCCGACTACTGGGCCGCTGGGAGTTCGTGCCGCCGTCGTGCGTGGTTTATCAAAGAAACTGGTGAGTGTTGCATGTTTGGGATGTTATGCTAACGCCGCTAGCGTTAGCATTAGCATCGGCCATTCATGATTCATGTGTCTGGGCTATGTTGTGCTAAGCAAGGCTAGCGTTACCTTGTGTTTTGGTTGCTACGTCTGCTGCATGTATTTCGGCTGTAGCACAAGCTAAATTGCTACATGCCCACAGTGAATGCATTGTTGTAATTTGTTATTGTGTTAACATGTGCAAACTATATGCCAACCTGTAGTACTTTGGATGTAGCTAAAACATGGAAACTCTGAAAGCACTTTGGATGTTTATATGAATTGTATTTTCTATGTTTAATTTATAATTTTTATTTTGTATACACATAAATGGATATAAATGAGGTAAGCTAAAAGTTAACACAACTATCTGCCATAACACCTTGGTTTGACTGGACCTGTTATTTTGATGCAGGCCAGGTGTCTCCTTTTGGAGCCGAAGATGGCGAGCTACTGAAACTACGGCTGGGAGCCAACAACCTCTGTAGCACTACAGCATCGCAGCCCTACTGGTCTGGTAGGAGGCTGTGACAGCCCCACGCAATTCTCATTAAACTGCCACAACTCCACTCACATCCCTTCCCTTCAATGGACAATATTCAATGGACAATTCCCCGTGAACACTCACTCAGACCCTCGTGGATTGTTGTGACAGTGTGTAGATTGGGTGCAAGCAACTTTGGGGATTCATTTATTTTCCCATTGTGAACCTTTGTATGTTGTTGTGTTAAATCCTGAACCAAACTGAGCCATATCTAAAGTGCACTTAAGTAATATTCTAACCGGTTGCCATAACTGCAGTTTTGTATATATTTTGGCTTTTTCTATTTTTTTCCTTACCATTTGTTGTTGTAAATATTTTGGGTTGTCATATTCACTTTGAAATACAAGGTACCTGCACTAATTAACCGCCTCTGGTGTCCTTATTAGTTGCTGATCACCAGCTTCCGCAGCCGCATCTAGACTTCTGAGCCGATTCTAGCCCATAGCCACTGTGCATTGGTTAGCCCATCTGGCTAATATTGACAACTTATTGATATTGGCTAACGAGCGCAACTACCCGCTACATACATTTTTTACATCTGAAAATCAATGTATGCCCTTTTAACGTTGTGTCATTTTTAAAAATGAAATATACAGTCTTTTTATATGCATTTCTTGTGAAAATATAACTACATGTGCACTTCAAGGGATGACACTTGAGATTATTGTGCCTTTCAAAAATTAAGTTTTAACATGTCTTTGATGTTGTCAGACTTTTTTATCCAGATGTCCAGTCTCTTGAGTGGGTGCATTGCCACACTTGCAAAGGCTGGCTTCACACAGATTGTGCAAGGAAATGCACACAGGAAGATGAGCCATTCGACTGTGGATGCACATTCGTGAAGGAACACCCAAGGTACTTTCTGATATTGTTGGTATCATGTGCATGTGTAGTATCACACAAAATGAGGGCCAAAGCACTGACAATAGTATAACTGGCTATTCTGTTATGTAGCCACTGTATGCCAGATCACAGCACAACACAGAACCTTTTGTCCCATTTTGGTTAAGCAGAGCAAAGGAACTTTATATGTAATGCTCATTTCATACACAGAGGCAAGTTGAAGTTCTTTTCAGTAATATTACAGTAAAGATAAAGGATTTAGAATTAAAAAGTGAAGTACAGGCAAGAGTTGCAAAACCAAAGATTGGTATAAACTTACCTTTCACTTGCCAGATTTACCTGAAAACAATGTGTAGATGCTTACTTAACATTGAAACACTGAAAATAAACACATACTCAAATTGCTTTTCTCTTGGTTAACCTTAATGACTGCAGTTTTCATCCTTTGGAAAAATGTCATATCGGAGAGAAATGTTGAGTTGAAATATTAGTTGTTTTTCTAGGCTGCTTGAACTTGTTTTAAAAATAAAAGTTGTGGGTAAAATGTCAAAGCAATGATTTTAGATTGGGAACAGATTAATTTAATCAACCTGCTATAGGATAAATTAAGAATAAATTCTGGACCTGGAGAGGCATAGTGTCGTGGTGGCATTGGTGAGTGGTGTATAGGTGATGACCATGAGGGGTTAGTGGGACTATTTTGCCAAGTTGTCCATCTGGCTTGTGAAACTAAGAGTAGAGACGGGAGGAAGTGGGTGCTGGAGCCATGAGAGTCCAGAGAAAAGGTGGGGGGAGTGTGGAAGGGAGATCCATATGGAGGCCAGGGTCACTGTTGTCATCCTGGAGCTACCCTCTTACTGTGGAGGAGCATTTGCTTGTGGAGAGTAGTGCAGGAAGTTATTTGGGGCCTCAGGCAGTGTACAATATTGCCTGTCAGCTGTCAAAATCCATATAGATGGGGGCCCTTTCCTTTGAAGAGATCATTACATTTCCAGAGCAGGTAAAAGTTGGAGTGGAATGTATCCCTTGTGACTCACAGGTATTAGAGAGCCACATACAGCCAGCTACATTTATCTATTTGTTTTTCTTTTCACCACTAAGTGGCCCACTGAAAAATGATTCTCTTGTTTGAATCTGTTAAAACGTTTAGCAAAGTATTGTTTTAGAAATTCTGATTCCCTTTGCTANCGGCCATCAGACTCTACAAAATCAAATTCCTCCTCCACAAAGTCGAAGTCTGGCAAAAAGTCTGCCATTATTCTATAAATCTTTCATAAAATAAATGAATGAACTTTTCAGGCTACTGTCCGGTTCTGCCTTCCAGCTGTTGCTGCTTGTTCTCGCGAGATTTCAGGCACGGTATGAGATTGCTGCTTGTTCTTGCGATATTTTGGCCGCGCTTTGGAAAGCAAAGCTAAATGGTAAACAATTTATTTGAGCCAGAATAATAGCCTTCATCACATGCAGTTTGGCTTTAGGGCCAATTATTCCACAGAAACAGCCAACTGCCTTTTCATAGAAAAGGTCCGAGCAATGGTTGACAAAGGAGGTATTGTTGGTGCAGTGTTTTTAGATCTACGCAAAGCCTTTGACACAGTCAACCATAAGGTCCTTCTGGCCAAACTGTCCACTTTCAACTTTTCCCCATTAGCATTTAGGTGGTTTGAATCTTACCTGACTGGTAGACGTCAACATGTTATGGTTAACAACCAACTTTCTCCAGCCCTTGAATTGTACACTGGAGTACCACAAGGGTCAATACTTGGTCCCCTACTCTTTTCTTTATATATCAATGACCTGCCAACTGTCTGCCCTGATGTGGAAACCCAGTTATTTGCGGATGACACCGTGATATATGTGCATGCCAGGACAAAGCAGATGGCAGCTGCTAAACTCACCTCAGCATTAGAGCAGATCTCTAAATGGCTAAACTGTTCCTGCCTTCAACTTAATGTAAACAAAACAGTAGGAATATTCTTTTCCAAATGGCAATATAACATTGTGCCGAATTAAACAATCTCAGGTAATAATATTGCTATTGTGTCAGAGGTCAGATATCTGGGAATCACTATTGACTCCAATCTAACTTTTAAAACACACATAAAAAAGGTCAGTCAAAAGGTTTAGTTTAGCGAATTTTAAATACATAAGAAACACAATGACTTTTAATGCTGCCAAATTATATGTGAATGCCATGATCATGTTGCATCTAACATACTGCCTCACAAGCTGGGGAAAAACCAAAGCCTCGACACTGAAGCCACTAGAAACCCTGTACAAGCAAACCCTTAAAATCTTGGACCAGAAACCAAACAGCTCACATCATTGTACCATCCTACACAAGCACAAACTTCTGAGCTGGGAAGATTTAATAAAATACAGGAACATCTGTCTGGTCTAAAATCCTGCACAACTTAGCTCCTCCTCCACTTAATTCATTCATAAACCAATGCAATAATACTGGTCAGATCACTAGAAGCATCACACGTGGTGACTTATTAGTCCCATTCAGGAAAAGCACATTTGGTCAGTTATCATTCTCTGTTAGAGCAATACAAAATTGGAACTCACTTCCCACCCATATTATAGATACACATACATGCTCCACCTTTACAGCCAAGTTAAAAACATGGTTTACTGACAATTACACCTGCACACACTAACCTATGGCTGTGTGTTATTGCGTCATGATCATAAACGCTGCATGTCTATACGTGCTGTCTGTCTGCATCCCTGAATGTGATTGTATGTGCTGACGTTTTGTGTGTGATTATATAGCATGTGCTGCTTCTGTATGTTTTGGTTATATGTGCTGTCTCTGCATGATTGTATTGATGTTTTACTGTTCCTTTTTATCTTTATTGATCTATCTTTTTCTCTTCACTCTTAACAGAGCATGTGAGCGGAGTGGAGCGGGTGAAAATTTCCACTCCTCGCTCGCAGACCTGTCACTTTGCGCCGCTCGTCCGCTCCGCTTGGTTCTGCGCATTCTTCGCTCCGCTCCGCTCCATCATAAATTTTATCCCGCTCCACTCGCTCAAAACAACTGCGTCGTACTACCCTAACCTGTAATCTTCTATTCACAAATAAAACAGGGTCTGCCCATTTTTCCAACAGCCCATTGGTCTGACATCCCATTGTTCAGACCATATTAAACCCATTGTTCATGATGCCCTGTGGTTAAGATCCGGTTAGGTTTAGGCACAAAAACCACTTGGTTAGGGTCAGGAAAAAATCATGGTGTGGGTTAAAATGAAAAAGAAAGTGGCAAACACATAAGCCGTGAGCCTGCTTCGCCTCAAGCCTTTCCCAGCTGACCCAGCGCCGGTCGCGGTGCACCATCAAGGCAGAAATACGCCCGCCGGGAGCCGTTCAGCACCACAGAGAGCTCCCCACACAACCTGGACCCCAGAGTTAATAACAGGAGGTTATGGTGTTTCATTCTCTCCTCTCTATGACACTTGTATCTCGACCAGTAGCCTACTTTTGTTGCGTTGCTGATCCTCTATGGTACACAAATAGGCTACGGTAATAATCACATATTGGAACAACGGGACGTCTGACTAATGAGAGGTTGGAACAATAAGAGGTAGGAACAATGCTACGGCACCAATAAAACATGAGCTTGGTAGATTCTCCGGGGAAGCCCTCTCGCCTCTCCCCGCAGTTAGGGACCGTTCTACACGGTACCGCTGGCAGGGTGGAAATAGTCAAAGTGTGGAGGAGACGGACCAGGTTAAGCGGCTGACCTCTGAAGCCCTCTCGCCTCTCCCTCTCAGTTAGGGACCATTCTCCAAGGTACCGCTACTTCTCTTCTCAGTTTCTTTTCTGAAGTACACAGTAAACTCCATAGTTTTGAAAGAAAATAGTGTGGGTGTGCGCAGGTGCAAAGATACATTCTGGATGGGGCATGAGCAACCGGAGCAAAATTGGAGCGAGAGATAAGGCTCCGCTCCACCTTTTTAAAAAAATAGCCACTCCTCGCTCAACACAAAATCCTCCCACTCCCCGCTCCGTTCCGCTCACATGCTCTGACTCTTAATTTTCTCTTTTTAATGAATGTGCTGTAATGTACTGTTCTTTTTAGGATGCCTATTGTCATCAGGCCAGGGACTACAGCTGGATATTAGCCATGTTGGCTAAAGCTGCCCTTTTTACTGTTATTTCTACAGTCAATTAATTGGGATTGTCCACAATACTATAAACTAATAAACTAAACTAAAATAAACTAAACTAAATACACTGACGAAGAGCTTCGCAACAGGTAGAAAACGAGAGAGGAGGAATGGCTGCTGTAAGGCTGCGTAGCTCTGGAGATTGGTGGTGTACCTGTGAATGCTGTGGCCCAGTGCCCACAGAAGAGGAATGCCTCTGTTGCAAGGAATGGGACCGGTTGCAGCCTTATTTTCAAGGTCTGGATGTGACTGAGGATGAGACACCTCCACCTGGAGTCGTATTCAGCTGGGCTTTATCTAGAGCTCACCATATTTCGGCCGCGCTTTTGAAAGCAGAGCTAAA